TTTATTTCTATTACTGTATGTCCCATGTTGCTTTTTCCTTGACAATCATCAATTGTCATCAATCATCAACATACCATAATAACTTCCGGGCGACAATTATTACTTTACGATACCCCTCATAGATGAAGGATGTAACCAATGTGTTATCCTGCAAAAATATTAAAATTATTATGTCCTGCTGTCTGCTTTTGGTACATTTTGGCCACCCATATTCCAACTAACCCACCTTTGATTTGACAACACACATCCAACTCTTGCCATTTGTGCAAAGTTAGTATACTCCCATTTGTTGACATTTTATAAGAGTTGCTTAAATCACAAGGTGGCAACCTAAACACTTGCTGATAAGAACAAAGCTAGGCAGTGGAGAGGCAGTGTGGTGTAGTGGTTTGAGCATTTGACTATGACCATGGAGATCAGGGTTCGAATTCCCATTCTGCCATGAAAACTCACTGGGTGACTTTGGGCAAGTCACACTCTCAGTGTCTTTGATCCCCTCTGCTCTTCACCAGACTCTGCTCTTCACCAGACTGGGGAAGGGGCTTCAACAACTCTACAGTAGATTGGGAGAGTGGTAAATGGCTCAGCAAAGCTTAGTTCTCCATGTGAAACTACTATGCCATGCTGAGCCATACAGAGTTCCAGCCAAAAGGATGAGATTTAAATAGTTTAAATTTAAAGTTTATCTGCTGAAACGACTTGTAGATCACAGTTCAAATAACCTTAATTTGCATCTGTTCTTTTGTACGATAACAGTACTCATTACCTATAATGCAATATATTTTAAAGCTAGGTAAAACGGCATTTTATTTCAGCAACTTAGCACTACTATTAAATATTTGTTAGAGTTTAACAGACAGGAATTTTACTCCAGATATATATATACCTGTCAATGATGTCAGGGATTTCTTTCAGTTTGTTGCTTCCCATGTCTAACCATTCCAGGTTTGGCATATCCAGAATGACTGAAGGGAATGTGCCAAACTGGTTCATGCTCAGATCTAGGTGATAGAGTTTCTTCATGTTGCTGAGCTAAGAAAAAAAGGGGAGAAAAGAAAAGAAAAGAAAACAGTGAGAACACAGTGAGAACAATGACTTGGATTGTAATTGAGGGAAGGAGTAGATTGGGCCCTATTTTTATGCATTTTGAACAAGAACTTGGCAATATTGCCTGGCCCTGGGGTGACTGGGAGAAAATATTTGCACCTGACCTGATGGGGAAGGTCACAGATATCTCTGTTCACTGCCAGTTCCAGTCTTTCTAAGCTGACACAGTTGCTTAGTTCTTTAGGAATGGATTTAATTTTATTATAACTGAGGTTCAGCTCTTGGAGATTTGACAATTGACCTGCAGAAATTAGAAATAAAACCAGCATTACAACAAATCAATTGTAAACATTTCATTTTTCCAGCAAATAGCATACTGTCAGAGGAAGATATTGGGAGAAAATGAAGAAGTGTTTGTAATTCAGGTCTTATAGACTGGATTCAATTTTTGTTTCTATTTTCTTCCAGATCTCTGACACTTTAAAGACTTAACATGGTTTATTTGGCATACATTTTTGTGGACTCCAACCTGCTTCATCACAAGCATCCATGCAGGGTTGCCAGACCAGAACTATGAAGACATAACTGGGTGCAGGTGTAAATTTCCTGAGACAGGATCTCAATCATCATTTATTAAAAGAGCAAGAATCCCAATATGTTTCCAACACACATTCTTCTTCGGGGGGAAATTTTATTAAAAAGAAAGAAGGGGGGAAACCTCTCCAAGAATATAATTCTTGGAGACTCCTGCAGGATCACTTGTTCAAGTCAGATAACTTTAGGTGTCAACTAGAAGAAAATCTAATCTTTCAACTCACCTATCTCCCTAGGAATGTCTGTGATGGAATTTCGAGACAGATCCAGAACAATGAGATTTTGAAAGCGACCAATAAACTGAGGGATTTTTACCAAACTGATTCTGTGAAGCTGCCATTCCTGGAGGTGGTTCAGTTTCAGTAAACAAGAAGGTAGTGTCTAGATTTATAGGAGACAAAAGTAGGCCCTAGGTGAAATCCTGAGCATATCAGATCAATCAAATGAGGCCAAACATGACAATAATTTGGCCTTCCCCAGTCCAATACCCTTCCGATGTGTTAGGCTACATCTCCTAACATCTGCAGGCCATCATTTGACCAAACTGCTGTCAGCGGAGATGGTGGAAGTTGCAGCCTAGAGGGTCCCAAAATGGGGAAGAGTGCAGTAATCCAGAATAAGACAAAATAGAGAAGAACCATAGCAAATTAATGAATACCAAGATAATCTTTGCATAATACTGCTTAAGCCTCAATTAGTTCAAGTGAGCGAGGGGGAGATGCAGAATTCTAAATTGGGACAATATGAGTATAACAATGGTGGCCAGCACAGCTAAATTAAAAAGTGTTGAGAGAATATATTTGTCTGTTGTTATTATTATTTGCCTTCAAGTCAACTCTGACCCTATCACAGAGGTGTTTTGTTTTGTGTGTGTGTGTGTTTTGTTTTTGGTTTTTTTGGCCAGATTTATTCAGAGGAGCTTTGCCATTGCCTTCCTCTAAGACTGAGAGAGTAAGAGTTGCCCAAGTGGTTTTCCATGGCTGAGCAGAGATCTGAACCCCGCTCTTCCAGGTCCTAGTTCAGCACTCAGTCATTTATGTTATACTATAAATGAGTGAAGCACTGAAACTTCAGTAACAATTGGAATTCTTTTATAATTAATAATTCTATCACATTAGTATTACCTTCCATTCTTCTTGTTCAATCCTTAAAACAGCTCTTCCATCTTCAGTGATGACTTTTTCTTTAAGTTTGGCCAAACTGACTCTCTCTTCCCAAGCAACTGTCAGTCTAGTGGGGGTAAAAAGTTGGATGTTTTTCATATAACCCTTACTTGTTGCCCTAGGATTTCCCATTTTTCATTTCAAAACATCAGAAGGATACACTTGGGACAGGTCAAGCAAGGATGCTTGATCATGAAGGTGTTGCTATAAGTGTTAACTGTCCCCAAAAGATCCTAGACCATTGATCTGCACTGTTATTTCCATGGCATGCTGTCTTAGGCCTGCCCCAAACATGCATGAGAAAAAGATGGCACAATTCTGGACTGTACTATTTCAGCCTACATTTCTGATCATCCTCCCATTAAAACAAACCTGCTTAAAAGAGAAATCTAGCTGTTCAAACAGAAAAGTTCTCACCCATCTCTCCCTGCGGCCCTGGCTTTCTAAGTTGAACAGAGAAGCCATTCTTCTCTCCTTTTTGTTCAACAAATGCCAGAAGCCACAGATTCCTAAATTATTTTCCCATTTCAAATAATCTTTCTACTTTTCAGAACTTGTCACCATATTTCTAATAGTCAAGAAAAGACAGTTGCTCAGGTCAAAGAAAAGATTTCTAAATGCATTGTATTATTCAATGTGATATTACTATGGTTATCAAGGGTGACATAACTGAGAATTTGGTATATCTGTGCATGGTGAACTAAAAAAGTAATATTCTTCCAGATTACAGGTGGACTCTGACAGAAATGAGATTAAAAGTACCTGTCTGCTTATTTTCCTGTTCATGAAATCCCTGAAATCTTATTAAGAACTTACCTCCCAACAGCCCTTTGTCTAAATTCCTTTTCTTTTTGAAGCTCCTCATTTATTTTCTGGATCCTGACTTCCCAAAGCGCCTTAACAGATGTAAACAAGCCAACGCAAACTGTTGTTTCAGTCATGGCTCTTTTGCATTCTGATTTGACATTGAGATTAGTTCTTCTCCATTTTTTATTGCACACAGGAGTGTCATATGTACAGGGAGAAGATTGTCAAGTGACTTCAATCCCTGTACTTAAATTGTCCTTCAGCAGGAAATATCTACAATAATAAGAGAAACAAACTATTACTAAATGCCAATACTGGTGCTTCATTTGCAGGCCTCAACATTCAACCAGCCTGTTGCCCTTCTGACAATTGTGCCACAAAACAATGATCAAGAACTTCCAGACGCATCGAAAGCATTTCTGAGTTTTAACTAGAAAGCAACATAGTGCTCCAGTGACAGATTAACACATCCCTTGTGATTCTGAATGCAAGAGCATTTGATATTTTTCTTACCTAAATCATTGTCCATATTGTCTGGTTTCCCACAGCGCATTGGTTTTGGCGCAACAGCTGAAAGCAGTCATGAATCTTGACTGCTTTGCTGAAGTGATTTACAAACCTCGCACCAACTAGGACAGGCTTGAAATGCAACGCCAGCCAAATTCTAATTTTAACCCACATTGCTGGCTGGGAATAGTAAGTGCTGCTCAGTCCAGAAGCCACAGATTCCTAAATTATTTTACCATTTTGAATGTCATTCTGCTTTTCAGAACTTGTTATCTTGTTTCTAAAAGTCAAGAAGAGTCAGTTGCTCTGTACAAAGAAAAGACATCTTAATGGATTGTCTCATTCAGTGTGGTATTACTATGGTTATAAAGGCTGGCATAACTGAGAACATGGTATGTCTCTGCATCTATCTGGGCAATGACAGCTGAAACAGTGTCTGTGCAAATTCCTCCTCGCACCAATCAGAGCATAAAACAGACAAAATTCACTGCAATGCAAGCATCTCACAGATAGCAAACAATCCCTATGGTGCCACACTGCAGGATTAATGCAGTTTGACACTGCTTTAACCATCATGGAATCCTGGAACATGTAATTTGTTGGGGCACCAGAGCTCTTTGACAGAGAAGGCTAAATATCACACAGAATTACCAATCCCACAATTTCATAACATTGAGCCATGGCAGTTAAAGTGGTGTCAAACTGCATTAATTCTGCAGTGTAGACACAGCCCTAAGAAGCCTTAGATCGACAGTCCAGATTTCCCTCTGAAGACTCACCCACCCAAAACACAGTAACTTCATTTGGCTCAGTAACTTGCTACTAGGGATTTTGTGTCTGTCTCTCATACAGAGATGACTATATGCTTTGAGTGCCAGAGATGTTGAAACCTCATCCTCACATATATATGTCTGTGCCTGGCCTCCACTCCACCAAATGCATCTGAGGAAGTAGACTGAACTCTATGAAAGCTCCTGCTGCCAATTTCTTTCTTTCAGTTAGTCTCAAAGATGCTACAAGCTCTCTCTACGTACTGATTTTACAGACTAACATGGCTATATCTTTGAACTCAGCCCTAGGATTTTCTCTCTTTCTCACCATGACCATTGTTGTAAATGTTATAAAACCTTGTTCCAGTGTCTCATATGTTATTTGAGTTGTAAAAAGAGGACAGAGTAAATATGTATCAGAAAAGTTGGAGCATACCATACCAAACCAAACCATACTATACCATGCATGCCCATAAATTGTCTTGTCACTCTCTCAACTTTATCCATCTTTCTCCTTCCCCCTTCCCATAAAATTTGAATTGGAAATATAATTT